AGAGCGAAATTATAACAAACACAGAGACCAGCTGGTGACTTGAATATTGTGCTGCCTGTTGGCGTTGAAACACCTGCCAGATTTCTTTCTCACCGAAGGCACTGGTGCCATGTTGGTTCAAAAAGTGCAGACCAGACCTCGAATTGCCTTTCAGGCAAGGATTGGGTTGTGCAAAGGGATTCTATTTGTGTTGCGCTTCATGCAGTGTATGAGGACTGTAAATTATGTCTGTTAACGTGGAGCTACTTGAAGCCATTCGGTACATTCCTCAGCACCCTTTGTACAACCAGTCTTACTTACTTCAATAATCAAATGTTGGCAAACTATTACGCACGTGATATTGGGCTATGTCACGAGAAGGGAGCATGCAACAAATCTGTGTCCTGCTTGTTTATTGCTTACGTACATGCTTTATTAGTACAAGCTTAGTTGGTATTAATAGGCAATGCCGATGGGGTCTATCTAGATAGTTCTCATTTGAGTGTGCAAGAATTTTTCTCACAGCTGTTTCGAGGCTCTTCAGATAATACAAGAACGCAGAAACGGACGCTTGGGCCACGAGCTCAACAGCTCTGCCATATATTTGATGTTCTCAGTGATCCTGTTGGTCTTCAAGCGCGTATTCCTTCTCAAGGTCTTGTTCTTGAAATGGTTCGTGCAAGTTTGTCATGCGACGAACTTCATACTCTTACCCCGGGCGTCGTGCTGCCGTTGCATGATGCGATGCAGTTTTTCCATTCGAGACCGCCTAGTGGCTGGCCTACAAAGGCCTACGAGCTTGTTGGTCGCAGTGATTTAGCATTGATTGACTTGATTGCGGGCTGTGGATACGAGAAAAATGGAAATGATGATAGTTGGACGGATGTTAGACCCTTGTGTGGAACTCGAGCGAGCCGAACTCAAAAGGCGCACCACACTGGTTTGGATGGAAATCGCAGGATCGAAATGCGGGACGAAGACGGGTTATTCCCGTGTCTATCAGATGGATACAAGCTTCGCATACCTCATATAGAGTCGCAGGTTGATACATGTTGAGAACTTGGCAGCACTACGATTTGGGGATGATTCTCGCACCCTCGAGGTCTGTCGGCTTCTTCGTTCATCAAAACCTGTTTTCTTTCGACTGGAACATCCTCCAGAGATGTCAGATCACGATTTTGAGCAACGAAAGCAAGCTACGCTCCTTTTGGCGTGCACTCGATCGTATTCCACTACACTAGGTCGTAGCATGCTCACACTCGGGTCACTTCCAGCATTTCGTACACTGGCAGAGATACTACCCGTGAGTCTATTGCGCTACTTAATTAGGTTCTACACCAGCTAAATTTCTGATGAGAGCATGATTTAGGTTCCAAGAATGAGCCTGGTAGGGAAGACGCCACCTTGCAACACAACGGTCGCACTTGATATTTCCTCTCCAGCCGCAGAAGCCCTGAGCCTATGGCCACAGTTTCACAATGGGGTTGCTGCTGGGTTGCGGCTACGGCCATGGAGATTGGACACATCCGTTGCATCTAAATGCCGGCAATCTGCATGTGTGACACGGACGTGGATCGTCTACAACAGACCTTCAACACCCACATCTCAACATGGCGGGCTGCTTCTTGCTCTAGGTTTACAACGGCACCTTAGTGTGCTAGCCATGACTGACATATATGAATATCTCACCCTAGGCCACGATCCAACAACGGTCGGTATTCTGCTTGGCATGGCTGTGGCAAAACACGGAACTGCGGACGCAGCAGTGTCGAAGATGCTATGCCTCCATATCCCCGCTCTTCTTCCACAGCCATTTGCCGAGATGGAAGTCTCAGCAGCTGCTCAAACGGCTGCCATGACGGGCATTGGCTTGCTCTACTCTGGCACAGCGCATCGTCTTATGGCAGAGTTTCTCCTTAGTGAAATCTCACGCCGTACTCATGGAGATCGAACGCGCGATCGTGAGGCATATTCTCTCGCTGCCGGTCTGGCTCTTGGTATGATAACTCTAGGACATGGCACGAGCCTTGAAGCTGCTGGTCTAGCAGATCTGCGGATTGCTCAGCGCTTACACCGTGCTCTTACTGGTGGTTGCGAACGTAGAAAGGTGGGGCAGCTTTCGGCAATCTTGAGCTGCGCTGGTGACGCACGCAATCGATACGCAAGCGACCAGCTACGGTGCTCCCGTGTTCGCGAGGGTGAGTACATCAACACTGATGTGACGGCACCGGGAGCGATCCTCGCCCTCGGCCTACACTTCCTTCAAACAAACTCTGCTGCAGCGGCAGCGAGGTTGTACCTTCCTGATACTCATGTGCTCCTCGACAACGTGCGCCCAGATCTTCTGCTTTTACGCGTTGTTGCACGCGGTCTAATATTGTGGGACTCTTTGAGACCAAGCATTGCCTGGGTCGAAGCACAACTTCCAAGAGTTGTGCTAGGCTCTATGCGTGCACTCAAATTATCTGCGTACTTGCCAGCGTCATCGGGTGTGGTTGTGCATCATTACAGCCTTCGCACAGGCACATGAAGATTCTGAAGTCTTCATGCTATGGTAAATTTTGTTCGACTCATATTGCCTCAATACCAAATGGTGTCGATTGGGACACGATTCGTCAGGCACATGCCAATATTGTCACTGGCGGTTGCTTTGTAAGACCTGTGTCATGTACTTGTTTGGCGGTTGCAATGAAGCTGGCGACATCCCAGGTACTTGGCCTGCGATACGCAGGAACAGGCTGCACCGTGGCGGCTGCAACTTTGCGACATTTTTTGGTGCACTTTAAGATGCTGCGTGACACTAATGAAAACCAAACAAGTTTGAACACCAAAACTGACATGATTTCATGTTTACATACTCTCCTTTGGCGGCCCGACAGACCGACGTTAGAGATGTGCCTTGGTGCGACGGCGATTGCGCTGGGAATGGTAATGGCGGGTACGGGTGATCTTGCATCTCTTCGACTCCTCCGGGAGCTCCGCTGGCGAGTTGATGACGGGATCACCTATGGTGAGATGACATAAATACGTTGCGCAAATCAACAAATAACCTTTACTAGGTACTCATATGGCTCTCCATATGTCGATCGGGCTTCTTTTCCTTGGTGGAGGCCGGGCCTCGCTTTTTCGCTCTAAAGAGTCAATCGCAGCTCTCCTAACAGCGTTCTACCCTCGATTTCCCCGAAGTCCAGAAGATAATCAGTATCATTTGCAGCCTCTTCGACACCTCTGGGTCCTGGCCGTGGATTGGCGAGGCATTAAAGCTGTTGATGTGGAGACAGGAAAGGATGCTCCAGTGCCACTTCAAGTAGAGCTGCGGAGCCTAGCAGACTACGTTACAATAAGGGTTGCTGATGGTTGGTCAACGACACAAAGCATAAGGATTATGGCTCCTTGCCTTCTTCCTCCTCTGTCTGATATAATATCTATTCGTGTAGCATCGGAACGTTACTACCCCGCAGCGCTAGACACCCAGCATACCAGAGTGTTGAGCAAGATCTACATCGCTTACATTATTTATCTCGCTCTTAGGAACGAGCGCCACGCCGCAGCATTATCAAAGCTGCTTATCTACGTTAAGCGCCGCCCAGGCTATTTGAGTTACATGCGTGACCCTTATGCATTGCGTGAACGCTTGCGCGAGGAAGAAGCATTCAGAGACAAGGAATATGGACATGGCTCCGTACGGGTCCTAGCACCATGGGCTCGTCCTCTGCAATCCTGTCCTGAAACAGGTGCGCTGATGGATGATTGGTTTTTTGAGGCAAATAATCATTTCTGACTTTCGCAGGTTTGGAAACGAGTGATATTCTTGCATCGTACACTGACGATCCGATCCTTCTCACATTTGCAAGACAGTTCTGTGATCACTTCGATCCACATACCGGTGGTGAGATGAAACAAGCTCAAATATGGGGCGGTGGAGCATATGGCGGTCCACTAGGTGGTGCACCTTCTCACATACAGCGATGGTGTGCTCGAATCTTGCATGAGTGTGTAGCCTATGACAAGCCGATGGTGTTACTTCTGTACATGCAGCTTCACCATGCCGCACTTACCATTCATTGGGCCAAGCACTCTCATCACGCATGGTCACTTCGAATGACTCTCGAGTTCTCTAATTTTTTATCCCTTTATGGATATGCAGTGTCCCGGTCTCCATACGGTGTCTTGCACACGCCCTCAATTCAAAGGTTCTACTCTCGGGCTAGCCATCATCTTGATTTGACGTTGCTTCGACGTGACTTTCTCGAAGCGCTTCGAGTACACGCTGATGCAGTTGTGTGCTCCGTATCCGAGGAAGATGTGCCTTATATCGATGTATTAAAATCAGCGTTGGTTGTCTTAGATGGATGAATGACGTTGTAATAATGCTTGGCCGATGTAAAACAACATAAAGAATTCTCAGATTTTGGCTGCTGGCGTAGTGTCTTAGGGACGTTTTGGATTCCCTGCCGTTCGACACGGAGCTCCCCCCTGCGTCGGCTTCTGCCGCCAGCCGTGGCCGGCGGCCGCTGGGCTTACTGGAGGTTACTGCAAGCTCCCAGTTCCAGTATCTGGCTAGAGAGGCAGAGAGGAGCTTATCCACTGAGCGGCTCGCTGGCAGGGCCGTGCCCAGGCCGCGCCTGGGCTCCCCTCTGGACACGAGAAACCCAACGAAGCTGAGTTTTCGACTTTGTCCCCCTCTTAGTCGCCCTTAAGCGCCCCGCGCCTGGCGCCGTCTCCGTCGGTGGAGCCCGTAGGGTCTGTGGGGCGGGTGTGTATATAGAATTCAGGGTCTGCGTGAATAAATTCCCTTGACCGGAAATTGCCTGGATTCTATATACACACTCCCTCGTCGCTTCGCTCCTCGGGAAACCCTCGCTGGCGCTCGGGAAACCTCGCTGACGCTCGGGGTGCTATGTTGAAGTTCAATTCAATTGAACTTTCAAAATAATTTTCCCAGAATGGTGGAAATTTATCATATAAAAAAAAAATGACCTGATATGTAGGAAAACGAAGGTTCTCATCCTGCGTTTAAAAAAAGAGTATAAACATATTTTATATACTATATAGTATAGAAGATGATGAATGCGATTGTAAATGATAGGAAGTTAAATGAGAATGAAATTAAAAACGAATGGGAGAAATTCTTTGGGACCCGCAGCGCGGTCACGCACTCGGGCCACGGTGCGCAGCTCCCGGCCTCGTTGTCCGCGGAGTCGGGGTCATATCTCTCTGTCGACCTCTCCCAGCATCGGAGATCTTATTTCATCCGTGAGATCACTCGTTGGGGCCAAAAAAGTGACCCCGTGCCGCGTCCGCCGCGTCCGCGCCGTCCGCGCCGCTTCGCGGAGGGGAGTTTCGAAGCCGCGATCCCCCTCGCGTCCAGCAGGGCATCCAGCGGCTTGGAAGAACTTATTTCGGGCCACATCAGCCGTTCCCGTACATAAACGCCCTCCCTTTGTGACACACCCAATCCCACAAAGTTTGCCGGCGATTCGACCATTCATCGACATGCCAGCACGCGGTGTCCAGCGGAGGAAGCAGGGACGATCGTATGCCCCGAGACACCCGCATTGCGCGCCGAAAGGGGCGACTCGCCCATGCTCTGCGAAGCGCAGCCCGCGCTCATCGTTATCTTCAAAAAATCCTAGAAAATAGAGACTTGGCCGGGGGTTCGGTACCCTTTTCGATTCGCAAATGGGGCGCCGCCCATTAAAGAACGTTTAGGGTACCGCGAAACGGCCTCGATGGGGCCGAGCTAGCCTCTAATCAAGCCCGCCGAGCGAGATGGCGGGCCGGAACGAGATCCAGCGGCCGTACTTGTCGCGCATCGCCACCGGCGCGCGACAGCGCTCGACGCCGTCCGCCCGGCCCCGACGGGTCAACCACGGGCCCAGGCGGGCCCGGACCACGAACGCACGCGTGGCGGGAGGCTTGGCGGGCCGCACGACCC